CGGACTGGAAGGGGGGGAAAGTGTCCGGACTGGAAGGGGGGGGAAAGTGTCCGGACTGGAAGGGGAGGAAAGTGTCCGGACTGGAAGGGGGGGAAAGTGTCCGGACTGGAAGGGGGGGAAAAGTGTCCGGACTGGAAGGGGGGGGAAAGTGTCCGGACTGGAAGGGGAGGAAAGTGTCCGGACTGGAAGGGGGGGAAAGTGTCCGGACTGGAAGGGGGGGGAAAGTGTCCGGACTGGAAGGGGAGGAAAGTGTCCGGACTGGAAGGGGGGGAAAGTGTCCGGACTGGAAGGGGGGGGAAAGTGTCCGGACTGGAAGGGGAGGAAAGTGTCCGGACTGGAAGGGGGGGAAAGTGTCCGGACTGGAAGGGGGGGGAAAGTGTCCGGACTGGAAGGGGAGGAAAGTGTCCGGACTGGAAGGGGGGGAAAGTGTCCGGACTGGAAGGGGGGGAAAGTGTCCGGACTGGAAGGGGAGGAAAGTGTCCGGACTGGAAGGGGGGGAAAGTGTCCGGACTGGAAGTGGTTAAGAGATCAGCGATCTTTCAGCGATCTTCCAGCGATCTTTCAGTGATCTTTATGCGATCATTTCACCTTGCGTCTCTTCTAAATGGAATAATAGATCAGCCTACACAAGCCCCCCGATATATCGAATATCTTGGAGGAGCTGGTCTTGTAACCCATCGATCGCTTGGTGACGTGACAGACCCTTATGATCCATCCCCTGTACATTGCCGGCATAGATGGAACAATGACAGTTGGAATGACTTCCCTGCCTTTGTTTCCTGCTCTCCTTATGTTCTATTTTTAATAATGTCTGATGCATTGTAGATAGACATGATCGTAATTACAACTTTCCAGTGTTGTTATGGTTACACAAAATTGAAAAAGTGCCGCAGAGTGGTAAATTACATAGCGCGCCAACGAATGGCATCTTTGTTTATCTTTTCAGCTGATAATCTTCATTTTGTTCTGTGATATAAATGAGGATGCCTTTTGTATGTATAGCATGACGTGTCCCCTGAAGAGTGACTAAGAAAGTGACTTGTGGAGTATGCATTGGGCTACACCGGGGTCACCCCGGACAGGATATGGCGCGGACCTAGCAAATACAGACGCACCTCGGATTACGAACGCCTCCGTTCATGTAATCTTCGGATTACGAATGAAAATCCATTGAAAATAACGGCTCGGTTTACCAATTTTTTTCACAATACGAACAGATTAATTGGTTTTCAATGCATTTACAAATTTTTTTTTTAATCATGTCCCTGTAGAGTATTTATGCCTTTAAATTGCACTTTATAAAGAGTTTTGAACACATAAAAGACTTTTTTGACTTTTTTCTGACCTCCGGAACGGATTAATTGGTTTTCAATGCATTTACAAATTTTTTTTATCATGTCCCTGTACAGTATTTATGCCTTTATAATGCACTTTATAAAGAGTTAGATTAATTTGTTTTAAATGCATTTACAGATTTTTTTTTTTATCATGTCCCTGTACAGTATTTATGCCTTTAAAGTGCACTTTATAAAGAGTTTTTTGTATGTATACCATTATATGTCTCCTGATCAGCTTATTATTATTATTATTATTATTATTATTATTATTACTACGAGTTTATATAGCGCCAAAGGGTTTGCTCAGCGCTGTACAATAGGGGGGACAATACATGGCACAGTACAACAACAACAAACAACGTACGAGGGGTAAGAGGGCCCTACTCTTACGAGCTTACAATCTAGGTGGGAGGGGGTAAAAGGTACAGTAGGAAGTGGCTGAGGGGGATGAAGTGGTGGGAGGAATGAGGGAGGATGGCCGTTAGGTGAGGGTGGGGTAGGCTTCCCTGAAGAGATGGGTTTTGAGGGAGCGCCTGAATGTGAATAGGGAAGGCGACAGTCTGATGGATTGGGGCAGTGAGTTCCAGAGGATGGGGGAGGACCTGGAGAAGTCCTGCAGTCGTGCATGGGAGGAGGAGACCAGGGAGCAGGATAGAAGGAGGTCCTGTGAGGAGCGAAGGGTACGGGTAGGGTGGTACTTGGGGATCAGGTTGGTGAGGTAGTCAGGGGCAGTGTTGTGAACGGCTTTGTAGGTCAGGGTTAGCTTAGAATAGTGATTAAGAAAGTGACTTGTGGAGTATGCATTGGGCTACACCGGGGTCACCCCGGACAGGATATGGCGCGGACCTAGCAAATACAGACGCACCTCGGTTTACGAACGCCTCCGTTAATGTAATTTTCGGATTACGAATGAAAATCCATTGAAAATAACGGCTCGGTTTACCAATTTTTTTCACAATACGAACAGATTAATTGGTTTTCAATGCATTTACAAATTTTTTTTTTAATCATGTCCCTGTAGAGTATTTATGCCTTTAAATTGCACTTTATAAAGAGTTTTGAACACATAAAAGACTTTTTTTGACTTTTTTCTGACCTCCGGAACGGATTAATTGGTTTTCGATGCATTTACAAATTTTTTTTATCATGTCCCTGTACAGTATTTATGCCTTTATAATGCACTTGATAAAGAGTTTTGAACAGATAAGACTTTTTTTTACTTTTTTCTGACCTCTGGAACGAATTAATTGGTTTTCAATGCATTTGTGAATTTTTTACAGACGCACCTCGGTTTTACGAACGCCTCCGTTAATGTAATTTTCGGATTACGAATGAAAATCCATTGAAAATAACGGCTCGGTTTACCAATTTTTTTCACAATACGAACAGATTAATTGGTTTTCAATGCATTTACAAATTTTTTTTTTAATCATGTCCCTGTAGAGTATTTATGCCTTTAAATTGCACTTTATAAAGAGTTTTGAACACATAAAAAGACTTTTTTGACTTTTTTTTCTGACCTCCGGAACGGATTAATTGGTTTTCGATGCATTTACAAATTGTTTTTATTCATGTCCCTGTACAGTATTTATGCCTTTAAAGTGCACTTTATAAAGAGTTTTGAACAGATAAGACTTTTTTTCACTTTTTTCTGACCAACGGATTAATTGGTTTTCAGTGCATTTATCAATTTTTTTTTCGCAATACGAACGGATTAATTGGTTTTCAATACATTTACCAATTTTTTTTTAATCATGTCCCTGTACAGTATTTATGCCTTTAAAGTGCACTTTATAAAGCGTTTTGAACAGATAAGATTTTTTCCTGACCTCTGGAACGGATTCTTTGGTTTTTAATGCATTTATGATTTTTTTTTTTTTCGCAATACAAAAAGATTAATTGGTTTTCAGTGCATTTACAAATTTTTTTTTATCATTTCACTGTACAGTATTTATGCCTTTAAAGTGCACGTTATAAAGTGTTTTGAACAGATAAGATTTTTTTTTTACTTTTTTCTGACCTCCGGAACGGATTAATTGGTTTTCAATGCATTTGTGAATTTTCTTGGCAATACAAATGGATTAATTGGTTTTCAATGCATTTATGAATTTTTTTTACGCAATACGAATGGATTCATTGGTTTTCAATGCATTTACCAATTTTTTTTAATCATGTCCCTGTACGGTATTTATGCCTTTAAATTGCACTTTATAAAGAGTTTTGAACACATAAAAGACTTTTTTTGACTTTTTTCTGACCTCCGGAACGGATTAATCGGTTTTCAATGCATTTGTGAATTTTTTTCGCAATGTGAACGGATTAATTGGTTTTCAACGCATTTACGAATTTTTCTTTTATCGTGTCCCTGTAAAGTATTTATGCCTTTAAAGTGCACTTTATTAAGAGTTTTGAACACACAAAAGACTTTTTTTTACCTTTTTCTGACCTCCAGAACGGATTAATTGGTTTTCAATGCATTTACAAATTTTTTTTATCATGTCCCTGTACAGTATTTATGCCTTTAAAGTGCACTTTATAAAGCGTTTTGAACAGATAAGACTTTTCTTTACTTTTTTCTGACCACTGGAATGAATTAATTGGTTTTCAATGCATTTGTGAATTTTTTTCGTAATACGAATGGATTAATGAGTTTTAAATGCATTTACAGATTTTTTTTATCATGTCCCTGTACAGTATTTATGCCTTTAAAGTGCACTTTATAAAGAGTTTTGAACATACTTTTTTTTTTTTTTTTTTTACTTTTTTCTGACCTCCGGAACGGATTAATTGGTTTTCAATGCATTCCTATGGGAAACCACGTTTTGGTTTCCGAATTTTGCGCAATACAAATGCATTAAATTGTTTAGGGGGGAAACAAGATTTAAGTCTTGCTCTTGCCTGCTTTGCCATCAGTCCTTGCTGCTGTGATGTAGAAACTTGGGCCTTGCTTATGGACGGTCAGTCCATTTTAATACCCTTTTTATCTTGTGTCATATTTATGGAATTTGCAAATTGTGGGCATGTTTTATGTCTCCCCATGTGGAGCAATTAATTTATACAGCCCATCTGATCCACCGCAGTATCCAGAGGAGGGAGTCCCTGTCTCACAGGCTTCTACACCCACCCATCCCTTAAAGGGGACCTCTGGCTGACTGGATCCTTTAGCACCTGGGAACTTCTGAAGCACCACCATTATCCAGTGGGAGGATTATCCTTGACCTGGCGCATACCCAATTCCTAAAGGGGACCTCCACTGACTGATTTAATGCATATTTACAGTACGCATCTGGTGAGTGCGTATTCTTACCCCACTATTCTGGAGCACCAGCACTGAAGTTTTGCTGCTGTTTCACCTATACCTGCACAGATTGTCACTTATGGACGCATACCGTTTTAGTTGACATTTTATTTTTATGTGGACTCTTTTCATACATTTGCTTTTAGCGCTGCACTATTTAACCACCTCCCACCCGCCATATAGTACAATGACGGACGCAAGACGGTTCTCTCGTTCTGGGAGGACGTAATATGACGTCTTCCCATTCTAACCGCACATGCACGGCTCCCAGAGCGCGCAGCGTGGCAGTCAGCAGTGCGCTGTGTCCCTTGGACACAGCGGATCACTGATCCACGGAAAGAGCCGAAGATGTTGGCTCGGTCATGTGATCAGCTGTGTCCAATCACAGCTGATCACATGTAAACAGGGAAATGCCGCTTATCGGCATTTCTCTCCCCATGAGCTGTCACGCTGACAGAGGAGAGGAGAGCAGAGTGGGTTATCGGTATTCCTCGAAGGGGACATGTGCACTGATCATCAGAGCACTGAGGATCAGTGTGTCCTGATGATCTGTGTAGCCCCAGCAGTGCCACCTGTCAGTGTTCATCAGTGCCAGCTCTCAGTGCTCATCCATGCCACCTGCCAGTGCCCATCAGTGCCACATTTCAGTGCCACATCAATGCCACATATCAGTGCCCATCTGAGCTGCCTTTCAGTGTCACCCATCAGTGGCAGTCAGTGCCACCTATCAGTGCCAGTCAGTGCCGCCTATCAGTGCCAGTCAGTGCCACCTATCAGTGTGCATCAGTGCAGCCTATCAGTGCCCGTCAGTGCTGCCTATCAGTGCCCGCCTAACAGTGCCAGTCAGTGTCATCTAACAGTACCAGTCAGTGCCGCCTATCAGTGCCATATATGAGAGCTGCCTTTCAGTGCCCATCAGTGATGCCTGTCAATGCCCATCAGCGCCACCTACCAGTGCCTCCTCATCAGTGCCCATCAGTGCTACCTATCAGTGCCCATCTCTGCAGCCTCATTAGTGCACATCAGTGAAGGAGAAAAATCACTTATTTACAAAATTTTATAACAAAAACTAAGAAAAATTTTTTTTTTTTCAAAATATTCTGTGGTTTTTGGTTTGTTTAAGAAAAGATAAAAAACCCCGAGGTGATTAAATACCACCAAAATAAAGCTCTATCTGTCACAAAAAAAAATGATAAAAAATTCATATGGGTACAGTGTTGCATGACCGCGCAATTGTCATTCAAAGTGCAACAGCGCTGAAAGCTGGAAATTGGGCTGGGCAAGAAGGGGGGTAGAAGTGCCCGGTAGGGCGAGGGGTTAAGAACTGTCATCCCGGTGTAGCTGTCAAACGGCTGGGAGCCAGCGTCACGAGCGGAGCAGTTTTTTTTTTGGGTGGCGCGTTGGCGGCGGGCGTCGTGATGTTGGATCTTCTTTGGGGGACATTTTTTTTTATTTGACTTGTCAAAGACTGTCTCCTGTCATTTTTTACACTACACTTTTTTTTGTGAAGCGATTCCATGTACCCCATACTCATTCCCATGGGGGGGCGGGATCTGGGGGGCCCAGATTCTGATAAGCCCCCTGCCTGTAGACCCCCACAACCAGTGGCCATGGTTGTGGAGAAGAGGCCCTTTTCCCCATAAACATGGGGACAAAGGTGCTTTGGGGGGGCTTTACTTCCCCCCCCTTCCCGAAAAGTGATCCACCTGGCCAGCAGTGTAGATAATGGAAAGGGGGGTTAAGGAGGTCCAAACCCCCTTCCCAGAGCATCTGTGGTGCTCCGGATGGCACCAGTGCTGGGCAGTGACAGGCAGCGACTAGACATGTGCGGGTCGTTTCATCCAGAATCAAACTTCAGATGAAATTTTCATTATGGAGAGATTCAGATGTATCCGAAATTCCAAAAAACAATAGTAACTAATTTAAGCGAATCCACAATAATAAGCAAAATTCGAGTAGAATTCAAATTGAATTTGGAAGAGACTGAATTTGAAAACAAATTAAAAATGTAAACATATTGCTGACTATTGCTGATTTACTTCAAAATATAGCCGTCTTCCAAGTTTCAAAAGAATAGAATAAAATAGAATAGAAAATAAATGAATATAATACAAATTAATAGAATAGACTATAAAAGAATAGAGTGCAAAAAAAATATAGATTACAATAGAATAGAATAGAAAGACTATAGCCATCTTCCGAAATTCAAATTTTTAAAAGAATAGAATGGAATAAATCAGAATAGAATAGAAAATAAGAGTAGAAAATTAAGGAATAGAATATAATAAAAAATAAAAGAACAGAATGGAAAAGAAAATAAAGGAATAGAAAATAAAATAATAGTATACAAAAAAACTGAATAGAATGTAAAAAAATAGAATAGATAATAATAAATAAAAAATATAGCCATCTTCTAAAATTTTAATTTCAAAATTCGAATTTCGAATAGAATAAAAAAAGAAAGACTATAGCCATCTTCCAAAATTCAAATTTCAAAAAGAATAAATGGAAATAAAACAGCATAGAATAGAAAATAAAAGAGTAAAAATTAAAAAATAGAATATAAAAAAAAAAAAAAGAAAAGAATAGAAAATAAAATAAAGGAATATAATAGAAAAGAATAGAATAGAAAATAAAGGAATATAATAGAAAAGAATAGAATAGAAAAGAATAGAATACAAAAAAAATAGACTAGATTATAAAAACAATAGAAAGACTATAGCCGTCTTTTCCCAAAAAATTCAAAATTTCAGAAAGAATAGCATGGAATAAAACAGAATAGAATAGAAAATAAAAAAGTAGAAAATTAAGGAATAGAATAAAAAATAACAGAACAGAATAGAAAAAAAAATAAAGGAATAGAATAGAAAAAAAATAATAGAATAAAAAAAAAAAAAACAGAATAGAATGTAAAAAAATAGAATAATAATAAATAAAAAAAAATAGCCATCTTCCGAAATTTGAATTTCAAAATATTCGAACTTCGAATAGAATAAAAAAAGAAAAAACTATAGCATCTTCCAAAATTCAAATTTCGAAAAAGAGTAGAATGGAATAAAACAGAATAGAAAATAAAAGAGTAAAAAATTAAGGAATAGAATATAATAAAAAATAAAAGAATAGAAAATAAAATAAAAAATAGAAATAAAAAAAAAAAAATAATAGAAAAAAAAAAAAATATAATAGAAAAGAACAGAATATAAAAGAATAGAATCCAAAAAATATAGACTAGATTCAAATTCAAATTTCAGAAAGAATAGCATGGAATAAAACAGAATAGAATAGAAAATAAGAGTAGAAAATGAAGGAATCGAATCTAATAAAAAATAACAGAACATAATAGAAAATAAAATAAAGGAATAGAATAGAAAATAAAAGAATAGAATACAAAAAACAGAATAGAATGTAGAAAAATAGAACAGAATTATATAGAAAAAAATATAGCCATCTTCCGAAATTTGAATTTAAAAATTAAAATTTCGAATAGAATTAAAAAAGAAAGACTATAGCCATCTTGCGAAAATCGAAATTCAAAAATAATAGAATTAGAATAAAATAGAATAGAAAAAAAAAGCGTAAAACAGAATAGAAAATGAAAGAATGGAATAAAATTACATTTTTGAATAGAATTGAACCAGCGATTCTTCACAATGAATTTGTATCGGATCATTTTGATTTGAATATTTAAAATCCATAAAACAAAATTAAAATCTGGTTGAAAATGAAAAACAAAATGAAACCAAACTAAACGAATTTCTTTACGAATGCAACGAAACGGAATGAATCACTTAACGAACCGATCCAAGAGGAAACAAATGGTTTGTCTAGTGGAGACAATTAACCACTTCCAGTCCGGACACTTTCCCCCCCTTCCAGTCCGGACACTTTCCCCCCCCTTCCAGTCCGGACACGCCCCCCCTTCCAGTCCGGACACTTTCCCCCCCCTTCCAGTCCGGACTGCTTTCCCCCCCCCTTCCAGTCCGGACACTTTCACCCCTTCCAGTCCGGACACTTTTTCCCTCCCCCCCCTTCAGTCCATCCTTCCAGTCCGGACACTTTCCCCCCCCCTTCCAGTCCGGACACTTTCCCCCCCCCCTTCCAGTCCGGACACTTTCCCCACCCTTCCAGTCCGGACACTTTTCACCCCCCCCCAGTCCGGACACTTCCAGCCCGGACACTTTCACCCCCCCCCTTTCAGCCCGGACACTTTCCCATTCACCCCCCCGGACAAACTTTCAGCCCGGACACTTTCACCCCCCCTTCCAGTCCGGACACTTTTCTTCCCCCCCTTCCAGACACTTTCAACCCCTCCGACCAGTCCGGACACTTTCCCCCCCTTCCAGTCCGGACACTTTCACCCCCTTCCAGTCCGGACACTTTCCCCCCCTTCCAGTCCGGACACTTTCCCCCCCCTTCCAGTCCGGACACTTTCCCCCCCTTCCAGTCCGGACACTTTCACCCCCTTCCAGCCCGGACACTTTCCCCCCCTTTCCAGCCCGGACACTTTCCCCCCCTTCCAGCCCGGACACTTTCACCCCCTTTCAGCCCGGACACTTTCACCCCCCTTTCAGCCCGGACACTTTCCCCCCCTTCCAGCCCGGACACTTTCACCCCCTTCCAGTCCGGACACTTTCCCCCCCTTCCAGTCCGGACACTTTCCCCCCCCTTCCAGCCCGGACACTTTCACCCCCTTTCAGCCCGGACACTTTCACCCCCTTTCAGCCCGGACACTTTCCCCCCCTTCCAGTCCGGACACTTTCCCCCCCTTCCAGTCCGGACACTTTCACCCCCTTCCAGCCCGGACACTTTCACCCCCTTTCAGCCCGGACACTTTCACCCCCTTTCAGCCCGACACTTTCCCCCCCTTCCAGTCCGGACACTTTCACCCCCTTCCAGTCCGGACACTTTCCCCCCCCTTCCAGTCCGGACACTTTCACCCCCCTTCCAGCCCGGACACTTTCCCCCCCTTCCAGCCCGGACACTTTCATTAGTCCACCCCCTTCCAGTCCGGACACTTTCCCCCCCTTCCAGTCCGGACACTTTCCCCCCCCCCCCCCCTTCCAGCCCGGACACTTTCCCCCCCTTCCAGCCCGGACACTTTCACCCCCTTTCAGCAGCCGGACACTTTCACCCCCTTTCAGCCCGACACTTTCACCCCCTTCCAGTCTGGACACTTTCACCCCCTTCCAGTCCGGACACTTTCCCCCCCTTCCAGTCCGGACACTTTCACCCCCTTCCTGTCCAGGCCAATTTTCAGCTTATAGCTTTATCACACTTTGAATGACCATTGCGCGGTCATGCAACACTGTACCCATATGAATTTTTTTGCATTTTTTTGAGACAGATAAAGCTTTATTTTGGTGTATTTATTCACCTCTGGGATTTTTAATTTTTTGTTTGCTATGTAAATTAAAAAGTCCCAAAATTTTTGAAAAAAAGTGTTTTTCTTATAGAATTTTTGCAAATAAATAATATTTCATCATAAATCTTGGCCAAAATTTATTCTGTTATATTTTTAGGGAAAAAAAATAACCCAAATTAGTTTATAACCAAAAATTATAATTTTTTACATTTTTTAATATTATTTATTTATTTTTTTTTACATACTGTCACCCTATCAGAACAGTCTCACCATGGTGACACTGTACTACTTGTGGGGGGCGATGAAGATTTTTATTTTTTTTTTTGCACTGATTGCTTTTACACCCCATAAAGGCTGTAAAAGCAATCATTTCTCCTTCTCTCTGTCTGCATTCTTGCAGCCATTGAGAAGTACTGAGTGAGCTGTGATTGGTCACAGCTTGTCACATGGTACAAGGCTGTTGTGAATAGCCCTGTACCATGTGATCTCTGTGATCATTCACAGATTTCACACGTAGTAAGCAA